TTCAAACACGGGGATGTTCATCCTCATCTTGCTTTCTGGATATCCACCGTGTGATGCGCATGTGACAAAACAACGAAGGTTTTCTTCATCACAGTTTGTGGTCACTGTAGGTTCGCTGTAGTTGGCTGAAGTAAACGGGACAAATGCAAAGTAATGTTTAGAAAATGTAAGGATAAACTACCCAAATACACTAGAAAAAAAAAGCAATTATACCTAATATGTAAATCAAACTCCACAGCCACTGCTTAAATGTAATATTTTTTCAATTTTTTTTACAAAACCCATACCTGAGACTTTGATAGACTTTGATGGTAGAGGTAGAGTAGTTAGGCGAGCAGTTTTTACAATCAATGGTGATGTGCAGAGTACAGGGACACAATATCAATGATTAATAGATATGGGAAAGATTTGTACAAGTGAAAGTAGAAAGTTTAGACAAAGACAGGAATTGCACTGTATTTTTAGGTAGTTTTTAGATATAGAGAAATCATATAATAGGTTGAAGATAGATAGACAGACAGACAGACAGACAGACCAATAGATAGACAGACAGACAGACAGACAGATAGAGACAGACAGACAGACAGACCGACAGACCGACCGACAGACCGACCGACAGATAGATAGATAGATAGATTTGCAACATCCCTCCTGCAATAACCCAGTAGCTGCTACAGAGCTGTGGCCCCCACTTTGGGAGCCACTGCTTAAATGTAATATTTTTTCTTTTTTTTTTTTTTTTTACAAAATCCTTACCTGAGACATTGAGTTGTATCTCTTCCTCACTTATGGAACCGTCTGTGTAACTGATGATGCAGTTGTACCGTCCAGTGTGGGACAAATTCAGTCTGGACATGTGCACAGTCATCTCACTGCGATTAACTTTTGTGTAGTTCCATGGTTTTGGCATCTGTGAGTGTTTTGTGCTGTGGAAGCCATTAATATATGTATCTCCATGCTGGAAGTAGAATAATTCAACCGTCTTCTTCTTGTCCACAGGACAGTGGACCGTCACGTTTCCACCAACCTCCCCTTGCAGGAGACTTCCTGAGGAGGAACCAGAGGCAGGGATAATCAGATAGAGTAACATGACATAAATACAAAAATAATGGTGCTGAGGGAGAAATCAGACTCATTAGAAATAGATGCTAATTTAATTTAAAAAAGGAGAGATATTTAGTTTGACCTCAACTTTATGTGGAAGAGAAATGTCTTTCCTGCTGCAAATATTCACCGCTTTAGTGTTATTAAAAAGAAATGATACGGATACATTGAATAATAAAATAATTTACATATTGGAGTGGCTAAAACAAAAAAATAAATAAATGAAATGTTTTTGCTAAATTATGACTAAGTCAAAAGACCAAAATTTTGTTTGTGAAAATTAACACTGCTTACAGAAAGCACCATAATTTCCGGACTTTTGTGCATGTCTGAATATAAGCCACTAAATTTAAGAAGAAAAAAAATAATTGTACATATGTAGGCCGCACTTCTCAATAAGCTGCAGGTGTCCACGTTGTAACATGGGATGTTTACACAGAAAGATGTTATAGAGAAAGATTTTTTTTTTCATCACTTTTATTTAAATAAATGCTTTTTTTCTGCCTGTAACACGGCTGGTTACGCGTTAGCTCCTTCCTGCTTCGGCGCCCTGACCGTAGTTGGAGACTTAGTGATCTGCTCCAGGGCAGAAGCTAACGTTAGCTCTGGGGCTAACTCCCTTCACTTTGTACTTGTCGGCAGCAGAGGTAAACAGCAAACTGCTCTCAACTTTCGCTACCGTTCTCTTTCGCGCGCGCTCCACGCACATATACGTACATAGCCATTCACAGACAGACATACGCTACTGGTATGTCTATAACACACGTTAACCTATGAACTTCCGCATCATTGTTAAAGCCGCAGGGTTCAAAACGTGTGAAAAAAGTTGTGGCGTGTTATAGTCCGGAAATTACGCTACACCTAATGTTCAACCTAAAGTTATACATTAGGTATATATTTTCTTCTTCCGTACTCATACTAGGTATACTCGTATGCATATATATGACTAAAGTACTAATTAAATTCACCACTATACCTCTCATCAACTACACCAATCCCAGTACATCATTAATTATTTCACTGATATTTTATTTTATTTTTTAAAAGCTTCCCCTGATGTAAGAGCTCAGGGGACATGCACATTCTGTTTTACGACGTCATGTGCGTTTTCACTTCCCCTGTTCTTTTCTATTTTCTCTCTCCCGTTTGACTCGTTCGTCATATTTCACCACATTTCCAAAGGTCATAATTACACAAGAGTGTTTCACTTTGATCATCTTAAGTAGGTATGGGGGTTTATATGCTTGTCGCTTAAGAAAATAAAATTAGTTTGGGTTGAGTTTGGTCCTGTCAAGAAAGACAAACAAACGTCATTTGAATGGGGCGATAAGCGCTGAGTGAAAATATGAGGAAACGTTGAGTTTCCATTGGTTGTGTAAGCGTTCAGTACATTTACATTTACATGTTGGCATGTTTTGAGTAGGCTTGACTCATCTGTGTTGCTCATTCACATTTAAGGCTCATCGCTGACACTAAACATGCTCACCTGACACAGCCATGATGCATGTCACAGTTCCGAGCAGAAGTGCCAGATGGAGAGCAAGCCCTTGCTTCCTTGGAAATAGGATGGCAAAAAATTGATGAGATCTGGGTTTTGGTATTACGTAATGATTTCAAAAAAACACCTTGAAGACACACCCTAGCGCTGAACACACTAATTTATCTTCTGAGATTTATTGACAAGGAAATAGTGCTATTTAATTGGAGTGAGGCGTTTTTCACTGTTTTTCACAGGAGTCAGTGATGCAACACCGCTTTGTGTTGTTTCTGTGTTAACTAGGTCAAAGTTCAGTTTTACTGAACTCTAGGCTTTGACATCACTAAATCCCGTGTCTGATGTTCGGAAGTTTTGTTTAAATATTCTGACTTTGGAGTGAAATTGTCCTCTGTTGATGGGAAGAAAGTCGTTGTAAGCGTTTTGTCTAGTCTGTGCTTTGAGGCTGAGCTCTCACCCACACACTGTGGGCTGTTTCACAGAACCTAAAGAATTATCGTAATGATAAGGAAGTAAGTACACAAATGTCATTACTTGTAGGCATATTGGTTTGTAAAAAAGCCTGTCTTTCGGGCTAGCTGACAGTCTCGTCTGGGATGAAATAATAATAGATGGGCTCGCCTCATGCCCACATTCATTTTTGTTTTGGAGGTGGTCAGGGGTTCTTGACCATTGTTTCAGGGATGATTAGTAAGAAAACCAATAAAAAAAAAGATCTTTTGTAGCTCAAATATTAGAGATAGAATTTCCATTTTTTCCAATTTAAAAAGAAAAATTTAATAATCTTTTCCTTGGGTCCAGGACGGCAGACCCGTTTGCCCCCCGTTCCCTATCTGCAGGTGTGGTTATGAAAACCCAACTGTAAGGCTTTGTGCAGGAGATAACTTCCAAAGTACTTTCATGGTGTAAATAGCCATAGCCATGTCAGCCGGAGTTCCTAAGACTTCACCTCGTTACATTTAATTAGTTTTGTTGTAACGTGATCAAACAAGTCAGGTTATCATTACATCTGCTATTGTGAATGCGGCTCTATTTGAAGGCATGATTCGCTGGATGCATTTGCAAGGTGAGACTGGTACAGTAATACTACGTCATTTCTAAGTAATTAACTTTAGATGTTTAGATGCCAGGGCCTTTGTACTCACTGCGAAATCCTGAGAATGCAACTGGTTCCCTGTTAGAGAAAAAGACACAGGAATTGTTTATACTTTTGGTTTCACTCAACAATCTATCTATCTATCTATCTATCTATCTATCTATCTATCTATCTATCTATCTATCTATTTATTTATTTATCTATCTGTCTGTCTGTCTATCTATCTATCTATCTATCTAACTATCTAGCTATCTGTTTATTTATTTATCTATCTATCTATTTATCTATCCATCTATCCATCTATCTATCTATCTATCTATCTATCTATCTATCTATCTATCTATCTATCTATCTATCTATCTATCCACTTTAAATCTTACTATCTCACTAAATCTCACTAAAAAGTCCGAGACAAAACTCCATAAACTTTTTTTTAATCTTCCAACTTTAGGAAAGTCCCAGGGCATTTAAGGGAATATCATGGAAGGCCAGCTGTGATGAATCAACCGATTGCCAGGAGTTTCCATTGTTCACAACTAAAGGTCATAGGTGCATGTCACTTACAGTGGTTGCAGTTTGTGTCACTTTAAGAATTGTTGTTTTGTGGACTGATTTTAACTAGTAATAGGATTGGATATTTCCTTCTACTTCCCCATAAGAGCTTTGCAGTAAAGCAACAAGGAAAGTCCCAGGAAGAAGTATCTCAATCTTTTCAGTCTGAAATGGCACACCATGAGTTCTACCTACACACACCCACACCCACACACACACCCACACACACACACAAGCACATGTATGTATATATATAATATGAAGTACAAATTTTATTTATGATTAATTGTCAATACAGTCTTTTGTGGATATACATATTGCATTTACACTAATATAATAATTTAAACCTAATGTTCTCTTACACATTTCTACTGATATCTCACCTCCACTAACAGAATCACTGAAATCATCAGGATCTAAAATGTATTTATTTATTTTTTGTTTCTCAAAAGTACCGATGATAATCCTTTGCTTCTACAAAAATGAATTCACGAGTTTTTAGCTGAACACCGCTTTTCAGGAAGAAAGCATTTCCTGTTGTCTGTGCATGTGTGTGTGTGTGTGTGTTTGTTTGGATATCCCCCACCGCAATTGTCTTAATTCTTAATCTCAAACTAATGCTGAAGCCTGAACTGATTTGTAACTCAAAACCAATATCACACACACAACACATTTCTCACCTCACCACCTCACCTCCTCACCGCTAACTCCTACCCTAACTTTCACAGAGAAATGCCTAAACCTAGACCGTATCCTTTCTTGTATCTCAAACTAATTCTGATTCCAAACTTCTTCCAAAAGTCTGAACACATCCTCTCACTTAATAAAACAAAACTGCAAACCAAGCACAGCTCTTTAGGACAAACCAAGCACAGCTTAAAAAAAAAGCTAATCCACATGGTACAGGCACATAAACTATTAGAGACCTTTGCTCTCTACTATCAGCAAGGAAGTATTATATACGACACATTTATGAACAGCATAAGATAAAACAAACAAACGTTAAAAAAAAAAAAAAACGTGTGAAATGTGAAATAAACACTCACCATAACACTGTTTTGTTGGTGGCTGTTGCTCACTGTTGTTGAACAAGAATGACACAGGACTTCCCCAAGCAAGAGTGCAGATCACTGTGGGAGGAGACAACAGTGACTCACTGATTTTTTTTTCTTTTTTTTTTTTCTTTTTTTTAAATTAATGCCCTGCCCTTGATCTGTTCTAATATGAAAAGCTAGACACAGCTCCTTAAATCTAAACTCAAGTCTAAATAAGTTGTGTTGTTAAAACACCTTAATCATAACCTCGTAACCTGTGGCTGTCACAAGTACAGTATGTCACAAGTACGGTGTGGTGTCATGATGTTGTGCAAACCTCCTGTAATTTCCCTAAATACTTCAGAAGTGATATCACCTCGGCAACAGATATAATACATCAGGTTTTATTGTGTTATTCATCTTACATGTTAGATATGTGTGGGGCGTTCACCAAGTGTTCCAACCTGCGACCTGCGAGCTGTTATTTACAGTAGAGAGATTTTTTTTTCTTCGAGAATTTGTTTTTAGTTACCTTGTTGCATAAACAGAGTATTAACCAGACTGTTTTTTTTTATTTTCCATCATCACATGTATAGTTAGGTCAGCTGAACATTAATACTGTTATATTAATTAATACTACTTTTAGCACCCCCCCCCCACCCCAACCCTGAAAACAGACGTTAGATTATTGAAAAACAGAATACAAGTCACACTTAACGACAAAAGAGAGCAGCAGACAATAGGATTGTCTAAGAATTAAAATTGTGTGGCTTTGATATTTAAGTAGTTTCAAAGAGCAAACGTAAGATATTAAAGGGTGCTTTTAAAAGATTTCTTTTGTTTTTCTTTTGCGCCACTCCCTATGCCATTGACCACATTAGATTGAAACTGCTTCAGCTTTGGAGCAGATTCTAAGAGATGAAGCACTAGCGTTGGTAAGGATTGAATCGTAATTCTTTAATGCTGTTATGACATCTTATCTCAACCACTGTACAAGTGTTAGCCTTGTGAATTTCACATTATGACACCATGGTCTAAAAGCAACCCGTGTTAATTCTGGGAGGAAAAGCGAGAGAGTGCTTTCAAAGTGAAAGCACTCTCTCGATGGTTGTGAAACAGTGCATTTCGCTTTTGTAACGTAACAATAAGAGACATATGCCTCCTGATGTAATGTGTTATGGATCCATGACGGTATGACAGTTAACCTACATACTGTTCTTGTAAATCTTTCATAAATCAAGCCGACAAATTCAAGTGAACGTGTGAACGTGTGTTTCAGTTATCTTACTGTAATCAGTGTTACTAGATTGTTTCCTTGTTTTGGTTTCCTGTGTTTCTTTCTTTCTTTTGATAACAGAACTCGACTGACCTCGTGTGCCCTTTTGTCTGGTATATTTGGGTCCTCATGTCTCATGACAACCTACTATGATAGTTTCACACCCCATTACGCTCAAAAAGCATTTGATGACCTATTTCCTAAGAAATCAAACAAGAAACCACATCTGGCTTTTTTGAATACATGAGGAAATAACTTAAATAAGAAGTGTAATCTTCAAAAGTGCAACAACTGCAACAAGAGGGGTTTACCATGGGTCACTGTAAATTTGAAAATGGACTAAGACACGACACATGACCTCATATGGTCATGCTATTTAGGCTAAAGCTCTTACATTTGCTGATTTTGTTAAGTTTTTAGAAAACTTAAACATGACTCAATTTGACTTTCATCTGCTTTAAATATTTTTTTTTTGTATTTAATTTGTGTGTGAAATACAGAGCAACAACTGAACTAAACAAAACATTGGTTGATTGAATATTCAAACATAAAATTCAACCATCCCAATGTAATTTTGTATGTTCAAGTTCAAAGAGGTTGAAATTATAATAATATGAACAGCATTAAGGATTATATTATATGCATGTGTTAGGTGAAATAAATAAGTTGTGTAGAAGTTGTAGTTTAAGTTGTAACTTTAACGGAAGTAAAAAACAGATGATGGAAACTATGTGTCTAACTACCAGATTTCTAGGAAAGCTCGTCATACACTTTAACCACAACCAAAGTGAAATCATTTATTGTTTTCAAAATAAACTGGTGAATTCACTTTAAGTTGTTTTGATATGTTGAATTCACTTGTAATGGGGTATTTATAAAACGTTTTGCAGTTGTAGTGTGATATTCATTCTATGTAAATATCATTTATAAAACCACAACAGTTTCGTCTTGGTCTCTATGACGGTAAAGGCTGGCGTGAGCTGTGAACTGGAGAACAACAGCCTTCTTTACAACGTCCACAATAGGGCTAAAGCGCCATCTGCTGTAAAACGAATGAAATGATTAGTTCAAGATTAGTCAATGGCGTACGTGAACTGCGTATAACGCCTATTCTCATAGATCACGTGGTACACTGGAACGTAGAAGCTCCTTGGTAACCACGCAAGCATTGGAACGAACGACCGATTGACAAACAAAATTTGGCCTCATGGAATGAGTAACAAAAGAGGCTCAGGATTACGGAGTTGAACGGAACACGGTACTAAAGTCTAATTGCCGCTGTTATTTAGTAAATGAACCCTGGGGTGCGGAATGCACTCATTTAATACGCCACGGCTGTGAGCTAATGTTAGCCAGCTAGCTGTCTTTTACCAGTATTGCATTTTCCCTAAAGTTAACAACAGTGTTCCAGTTTGGTAAAGTTTTAGTAATTTTTTGTAAGATGAAGGGGCTGCTAAAATAATAATAAATATAAAGCTAACTTTCTATCGTGCGTTCAATGTAGCGACTGTATTGCATGTTTTTGCAACAGATGCTACGTTTCCTTTTTTTGTAGTTTCCCTGGAAGCTTTCCGGTTCATCCCCGACGATTGACGGGCCACTGCAGGAGACACTTTTTTTGACAGCGTTCACTGTTGCTGCTATCTCTTTGTTGATCCAATGCGAATGCAAAACAAGCTGCCGTAGTTATGAAAACTGCTAAAATGCAATGCTTCATTGAATTGAATTTACATGTCAACTTGAATAGGATTTGCCCATTTAAACCAACTTTCTTTACTCTTCTTTTATCTCTTGTTTCCTCGTATGTCGTGCATATTTCACTCCTGCAACAGATACAGCACGTGTTAGCACAGTATAATAAAATACGATTTTTTTTTTTGCTGTTGGTGTAGAGTATTTATCTGATAGTATCTGATTCGTAGTCGCTCATCTAACAGAACAGGAGTGACAATCATCATGAGTACAGTTCGTACTGGTCCCCCCCCAGATATTTTAATGATGCAGTTACTACTGTTACTGTAACCACTCATATACTCCCTCTACTTTTTAGCGTGAAAAATGCCCGGTGGTTCAGATGACGTACGGAAGAAATTTATCCTGACCACGAGTGAAAACTTCTATGGGCTGAAGCCTTCATCAGCTCTGGTTGACTGCAAAGAGCTCAATAACTTCTTGGACGATGGAAATCAATTCATTCTCTCTGTCAGCATACGTGACACTGTCCTGCTCTTGTCAGATAAGGTAACACAAAGGTGGAATTCAGCATACTCAGTATATTCTAAGCCAGAGCTAGCCACGAGGCTAATGGATTTAAATATACAATATTAAGCCAAAAACAACTACTAAACCATACTAAATTGAATGACTTCCTGCAACAGACTTTCTAGCGATGTTTTCGTGTCAGTGTTTGAATCCTCTAAAATAATTGACAGATTGATGCTGCAGGTGATGGCAAAGAGAAGGTGTTGGTGTTCTTCAAGCTCCATCCCACAGTGATCACTGAAGAAAACCTCCACAGGAGCCTTCTGGTGTCGTCCATGATAGAGTCTCCCATCAACACTCTCTACCAGGCTGTCAAACAGGTCTTTGCACCGGTTCTGCTTAAAGTGAGTATTAATACTCCGTGAACATTTAGCAGAGGCTTAGGAAGACTCTGCTCCATCACAACAATGAACATACAGTATATAACATACAGTATATATACAAACGAAGCTGCTTCTGGTGGAATGTTTGAAACATGAAGTACTTTTTTTTCTATTTGTGGAATGTTTGAAACATGAAGTACTTTTCTCTATTTATGTAGTGTTGCTCCTGCTGTAGTTTTGTTTTCAAATGGTTCCTTTACACGGTTTTCTCATTTAAGGATGAGCGTTGGTGCTCAACATTTGACCCCAAGTTAGCCTCTCTGCTAAGTGACCTGGAGCTGGGCCTGGCCTCAGTGGTGCGCCAGTCTGGAGTGAAGCCATCTTCCAAAACCAGATGCACAGAGGAGGATGTTCTTGGTACGTTACGTGTTGTTGACACGTTCATAAAACATGAATTAATTTGCCTTACTTTCTGTCCTTTTTTAGGAGTAACATTATAGACTAATTTACACCCATAGACTGATTTACACCCTATTTTGCAGGTATCCTTACTCCTAATGATGAGTTCGAGTACTGGAAAGATTTATCCAAATCAGCAGAAAAGAACAGTGTGAGAGAAAGAGCAGCGTACTTCAGTGAACTGTTCAAAACTCTACAAAAAGTAGGTTGGCTACTAATCATGAGTCATCAGTAAAGGACAATTTTTGACCGTCAAGGCACATGTTTCCAATCTCTGAAAAGAAATCGAACAAACATGCTATGTTTTCACCAGGAGTATGAAGGTCTGGATGGTTTGTCCATATCTGATGTGGTGGATCTGGTGGAGCACAGCAGAGAAACTCTGGACGATGTTTGGCGGCAGACTGATTTTGACCCCTATTTGGAAACACGCATGGTTCGACTCATGGACGTCGTAGGTGTGGGAAGTATTACATGTTTTGATTGAGCAAAACCAGAAGTGGAAAAAAAAAAAAAATGAAATGCTGACTCTGAGTTTGCAAAATCTTGCATAATCCTTATGAGATACAAGCCATATTCAGAAGTGGCATTATTTTCCAATGACATTCTAAAACATAATGAAACCAATATAGTAACCGCAGGCATATTATGAAAAAATTCCATCACTGCTTAGGTCACAGGGTTGATTATATTTTTAGACGTTTTTTTGTTGCCATTTCTATTGAAAGGTGGAGCTCTGGGACGGTATGTGCAGCGGAAACTGAGTGATCTGAAGATTTTTGAGGAATCATTTGTGTCACTGAGGGAGACTCTACGAATGGCTGTCGCCATCTGTGAGCAGTGGGTGGTTGCCTGTGAACACCTCACAGGACAGGTGTGGATCGGCCAAAATATATGAACACGAAGTTAAACCCGAACAAAACACATCCTTGTCCTTCCGTTAAGAAATGTCAAGGGTAAAAAATTTTGATACATTTACTCAGGTATGGAAGCGACATGCACCCCACGTCTGGAAGGGAAACAAACATTGCCCTCACAGTCTTGAGTCTCTGGGAAAGAGATTAGATGAGGTGAGATTTTGTAATAATGTTGAAGTTATTTATAGTTACAGTCTTTAAGAAAATGGAACTTCAATTTAAAGTTAACAATAACATATTTTTACATGAGTATGACAGTGATCAATTATATCTTGTTATGGGTGTATTGCATAGGATTATATGATCGTCACTTGCTTGGTTTGTCCAGATATATATTTTCTACTGCTACAAGTGTGACTAGTATCAACATAATTTGTTACTCCTGAGTAAAGGCATATTGCATATGTTTTTTTATTTTTTGGCATATTTTACTTACAGTATATGTTACATATTTGATTTTTTTAGCAAAAGATTAATATATTTATTGCACAGTTTAACCAGGGGAATGTTTCTATTTTCCAGGTGGTAACTCTGCGTATGGTTCATGAGAAACTCTTGCGTTTGTTGCCAGCAGGAAAGCAGCAGGCTTTGACATTAGATCGTGTGTTTGAACCCTTTTCTGGACTAAATCCTCTCCTCTACAACCCTTACACTGAGGTTAGTTTCAGGAGTATACCGGTACATGTGTGTCTATACTGTATGTAACTATAACTCCAGAGTTAACCACTGAGGTGGGGCACATTAATGTACCATCAGAGACCACTGGGGGTGTTGTAGTTTAATTTAGCAATTTTTATGTAGTAGTTTGGAAAACTACCGTATAGAACAAATCAAACAAAACTTTGTGCTTGCCTTTCTTCAATTCCTGTGAGTATACCAGTATTGTGTTCAATCACAGTAGCAGAAGCAGTAGCCTATCCTTTATTTGGTAACTTCACATCATCTGGATCGGTTTTCTTTGCTCAGTGTGTGAATGGTCTTTATTTTCGCAGCCGCTCTGGAGGGCAGCAGTGGCTCAGTTTGAGCGTCTAATGGCTCCGTCAGAACAAGAGGTAGCTGGCAGACTAAAAAGCTACATCGCACATGTGCAAGATAACCCTCAACAGGTGACATTCACACTCATTGCTAATCATTTGTTCAGTCATTTTGACGTTACTAATGGAAATATGTGTATTTGCTGCTGCCAACTGCAAACCTGTAAATATTGCATTTTGTCTTTGTATGTATGTACTGTACATATATGTATATCAATCTATAGGTATAGAAATATATATATGTTATGTAATGTATTTTTAAATACAGTTACAATATACTATTGGTTGTGTGTTGGTGCAGTTGTTGCAGGTGTTTCAAAAGCACAAGGAGTTAATCAAACGCCCGACTATTGGTAAAGAACTGCAGTCGGAGAGAGAGACCATGCAGGCCAGACTCCTGGAGTACAACAAGGGTATAAAGAAATTTGATTTGATTTGTCCCAACTCATGTCAGTAATTCATGGTCATTTCTCGTTGTTGCATATTGTCACACCCCATTTTACCATATAAGGGCATAGAGGCAAGTAGAAGTCAGACAGATGAATAGTAGTTTTTGCAATTGGTGTTTCCTATCTTTATGCCTTGTCTGCTTATTATTTGCTCTAGGTCTAAAAACAGACTTTGAGACTAGGTGTCATGGTGGCCCTGGAGAAAAATCTGGGCCGCTTATGGGAAGGAATCTTCCAGAAGTTGTCAACAAAATTGTATGGGTTCGGCAGCTCATACACAAGGTAACTGAAGGTTTCCTCCAGTGGTTTTCGACCTGTGAGGTGCGCTTCTTTTGTGGGGCACCAGAGCGCCTCTGAGGGTGGAGGGTGGATTTTTGTAACCTCAAATAATAATAATACTTTTAAGGAAAATCCAAGTGTTTATAAAAATACAACACAAAAAAAATAATCACTGTACCTGACTCGAAATCTTAAATAATGTAACACACAAACGCACAATGTTAAATAAAGTTGAAATAATGTTATTGTTTTTAAAATGATGACAATAATAATTAATTCACATACATGCCAGAGTAGTTGCGAGGTTGGTTTTAATAATGTCAGATTCACAAATAAAAAAATGTCACAAACAGGTTGAGGACTCTGTTCGCATCGCTGAGGCGCTGCTGTCGGACCTGTCCAGTTTCAAAGGATTTGTGCGTTTCTGCGATGACCTGCTGGAAGTTCTCAGAGCGTTTGAACAGGAGCAGTTTGAAGACTGGTCACGAGAGATACTGTCTGGATTGGCTGATCCCAAATCGGGAATCAGGTCGAAAACACTGTATTCAACCATTTAAATACACAAGGCTTTTACAATATCCTCTGCCTTCAGTGAAAGTGACTTCCTTCTCCATTTGTCCAGCCTCCAGGCCAGTAACCGTGTCATGGAGCTGGATCATGTGGACGGCAGACTGAAGATCCAGTATTCAGACAGACTGGTCAGTCTGCTCCGTGAGGTCAGGCAGCTCTCTGCTCTGGGCTTTCCCATTCCAGCTAAGATACAACAGGCTGCTAATACTGCGGATCATTTTTACAGACAGGCCGTTGTCCTGAAACAGGTCAGAGTTTGAGTGTAGACAAAAACTCTGCTGCCATTCTTTCCCCTTTCCATTCAACGCCAAGTTAATGGAACACATTCTGTTATAGGTGGCCCACTTCTACAACACCATTGACCAGCAGATGATTCCTTCCCAGAGACCCATGATGCTTAATCTTGCGTTGTCCTTTGAGCAAGTCATCAAAGTATGGTTCCCATCTTGGTATTTTTGATATTTGTTTTTTTCTTTTTTTTTCTTTTTAATGATAACCTCTGTGCTTGGCTTTGTCAGAATACTCGCTCACAGTCGAAGGAATCAGGGGGTAAACTGCAGATCACCTGGGACAACCCCAAAGAATTGGAAGTCTACATTTCAAAGTTGCAGTCGGCCGCCGAAAAACTTTCCACAGAGAACAGAAAGCTACGCAAGTGGCACACGGACTTCATTGACAAGGCTGGTGTTTATTTGCTTTATTTGCAGGGACAGCGCCCTTGTCTTTGTAATTAAAACCAAAAAAAAAACAAAAAAAAAAAACAACACTTTTAAATATGCCCTCAGGTTGTGACACTGATGAATGTTGACCTGCTGAGACATCAGCAGCGCTGGAAGGACGGCCTCCAGGAGCTGCGCATGGGCTTTGCCACTTTAGAAGCGCAGGTATGGAGTACAGTGAGAAGTAAATGAAGACAGAGACGCAGTACTTCTTTTGTTTACTAGACCGTTCTCCTTCAAATGATATCGGCAGGGCTTCCGGTCTGATGACATGCAGGCGTGGCGTCAGCACTGGAACCACCAACTGTACAAAGCTCTTGAACATCAGTACCAGATGGGACTGGAAGCCCTGAATAAAAACCTGCCTGAAATACACATCGACCTGACTTTCAGGTCAGTGAACTCACATTCAGTTGTCCAACATTTCTCTCACTTTTCATTTTGCATCTTTTCCCCCCTGCCCGTGTCTTTTTTTTTTTTTTTTTTTTTTACTCTTGAAAACTCTCTTGTCACATTACACATGATTCTGCATAAATACATCAATTTACATTTCTTGACCCCATCCCCCCGCCTCCACGTCCACCCCCTCCTCCCCTGTCAAAAGGCAAGGTCGTTTGAAGTTTCGTCCGCCCTTTGAGGAGGTACGAGCACGCTACTTCAGGGAAATGAAGAGGTTCATCTCCATACCGAACCAGTTCAAAGGCGTCAGCGCTCA